CCCCCCCTGACGTCCCGGTTCTCGCAACAACACTTGGAACTCCGTCCCGCCCGCCCAGGAACCGCATCGAGGTCATCAAGGTGCTCAATGGCGAAGAGGGGACCAGCAACGCGGACAGGTGTGTTGATGGGGGCCAGGGGCGAGGCACGCGTTATCTGTTGCTTTGGCCGTTAATTGCATCATTCTTGTTCTTGTTTCCCTCCATTGAGACCTAACTTTGAGGAGCTTCACTGCTGAAATTGTCAAACGCTTTGTGATGAGGGTTGTATGCAAGGGGTGAAAAACAAGATGTCGAGCGTCACCGATGCTTAGCTGCGCTTGTCGTGCCCGTAATTGTGGTTACACGTCTGGGTGGGTTCTACATGTTGACATCTCCATTTCACGTGTGCTTGTCCCCTTCTTTAGGTTGATGCAAAAGAACTCCGGGAGATCCAGCCGGTCCAGCAGATTCCGTATGACGGACTCTAGCAGTCTCGAAGAATCTGACGACGAGGTGGACAGCACTCTGGTCGTCAGGGTGGAACAAGCCGATAGTGAGTGGCAGGACGGGGGGAGGGAGGGGGGCGTGCTCATGTAAACGCATGACGTAGTCGTTAGGCCATTGACCTCGCATCCCAGCAGTGCAGGGACGGAGCGATATGCCGGGCTTTTGCGGGCCCAGACTTGGATGCTTGGGGGGCGGCGGCGCCGTTTCTGCCACCAAGAGATGCGAACACAGATATGGGCCTAGTCAGGGAGATCGATTCAACCCGTTGTTGTCCCCCTAGGCTCGCCAAAGGTTGCAGGTCATTCCGTTGGTCTTTCCTGACTTTTCTGATTTCCTCTGTTGTCCTTTCGATTCAACCCGTTGTTGCCCCCCTAGGCTCGCCAATGTTTGCAGGTCATTCCTTTGGTCTTTTCTGACTTTTCTGATTTCCTCTGTTGTCCTTGCTTCTCTTCTAGAAAAGTAGTGGTGGCGTGAAGGGGTTATCCTAGATCGACAGGGATGGGATGCAGCAGTGTATTTTATGTGATCACGGGAGATTTCTTATTCTTTCACGGTATGTACATTGTTGTTGTTGGCATGAATGTGCTCCCTGTTATCTCTTCTTGTCGGAGACCCGAGGCTATTGCATCAATCGTCAGTGCTGTGTTTTGTTCGTTATTTCCCCCCTGCCCGCCCCCCCCTCTTTTCTGGCGAACAGACCTCATCCTGGAAGAGAATTTCGGCACGGTGTACCCCTACTGCCTCGTCGACCTAGACGGCCAGAGCCAAAAGACCACCGCGGTGCAGAACGCGTCGATCGACCCGTCGTGGAACCAAGACATGACCTTCCAGGTGTCGGTCCAGCAGTGGGTCCTATCCAACCTCAGGGTACAGGTGAGTTTGTCACAGTAACCATGGACACCACCGAGCAATATGTTGTTGCCCCCCCGCCTTGTGCAATGGTTTTGGGAGCGCTCCTTTATATACATATATATATATATATTTTTTTGCGTTTTCTTTCAAACAATGCCTCGTGTATTGTCCTCTACTCAAGCGTTCCTTCCCGTGCCTTGGCTCCTTTCGAGTAAATACAGTCACGTTTCTCTTTGATGTTTCGTCTGCGTTCCTCACAATAAATTCCTGGTGCCTTCCAGCCTTGGACGGTGTCGTGTGTTGGGAATGTTTACGGATGTGTATCCTCTGCTGTTGCCTTCCTTTATTTTTGACTCCCCCCCCC